TCATATTTCATGTAAAAATTGTTTTCAATATATTTGTTTTAAAGGTATACTAGCAAACGAAATTACAAGTATTCCCGTAAATCCCTCCCGCTAAACTAAACTGCTTGTGTTAAGAGTGGGTTTACGTCGGTAGTGTACTGGTCAGGATCCAAACCCACAACCTCTTGATCGCAAGTCCAATGCCTTAACTACTAGGCTACCACCGCTTGATTGTTTTGATCTATTTTCCATTTCTGATAGAAAAATTGTTGTATGTTTAATTTACTTTATTATTATTATTAGGGTCCAGGTCACTGCACTGGAGTAAGTTTGTGATGTAAGAGTTCCCGTGTACTTGATTAAACGGTTGTTTAGTCCAATGGGTTATGCTTTTCTGATCATATTATCTAGTTGCCACATAAAACTGTTCACTGACTTTACGGTCACAACATTTTCCGGAAGCTTGTTCCATATTGCAACAACACGATTGTTCAAATTGTGATAGGCTACCAGCGACTGTGAGTGTGAGCTATCTATTGAGAAGCTGTGTCCTTGTGATGAGTATTATGTCTGTCAAAATCGCTCCTAGAAGCCTGTGAATGCTCCAGGAGGCTTCTGTGCATCTGGAAGGAGCTTGGTTGGCTCACCTAGCTAACCAGTCCTCGACACATAAAGGTCCACTCTTGAATCTGAATGCGGAAACCGAAGCCCACAACATAACATTATCTGGTGTACAAATAAAGTACAAAAAAGTAATTACCTGGTTATTAACATAAGTGCTAGTGCCAAAAGGTAATATATATAAATTTCTAATCTTATTAACCAGTAATAGTAAAATAAAAGATACATACATATGTTTAAATTTCTCTATAACCTGGAATAACAAAAACAGAAAAACAAACATTTCTATTATATTTTTATTTTCACAATATGTATAATTTTCAACTTATTAATAATCATAACAAGTTAATTAGGTGCTTATATTTGTTTGATACTGGCAATATTAGGTTTATTAAACTTTAGTATTTGCAGTAATAAATTAATTTAAAAAAGTGCTTTTAAACATGGCTCAAACTGTTTTTTATCAATTATTTTCTACCAACAATAATTTGTTTTTACACCATCTAACATCAAAATCAGTATATATTATAGTTCAGAACGAGGTTTAAATACATATATAACCTTAACCCGGCGATCTAGCCGCAGCGGTAATAACAATTTAAAACTGAAATTAGCGACACTCGTACGAGACCTACTTTCGAAAGTTAAGATTATAAATACCTATAAATGGACTATCTCCACAATCATTTTCTTCATACTGTAAACAGTTTTAGCTACATTAATTGCACGAATATGACTCTTAAAGTCACGTAGATTCATAATAAGCTACACGACACCATCTGGGGCCTGCGGGCATCCAAATAAAGACAAGAAAATATACAATGTCCATATTCTATTTCACTGACCTGTATATCACTTGTGAGTAATCAGCGGCGCGACGATGGGCTTCCATCAAATATTGAACACTACACAGAACGTGAAAGTTAACAACAAATGTTTATTTCACACAATAATCATTCAGTTTTTACGATTTTCTTCTATTGTGACACTCGCGGTTAACAGCAGACAGTACAACGCGTTCGCGAGATTTAAATGTTGCTAGCGTGTTAGCTAAGAATTTACCATTACTACCATAAGTTAAGGCATAGTACACAATAAATTAATGAAATTTTCAAATCAAATGTACATGGAATGAAAAACTATATTTGTGTATTTACTCAAATATAGTGATGATAAACAACCAACCGACGTGGCAATTCTATCAGTCATCTGGGAACGCTACCAGTAGGCGATGATTTATATATATATGTTTTATATAAATCGACATTAGAACTAAATAGTTTGAAAGGTGTTATGCTTTGGCTTATTATTTTATACATAAGATATTATTTGACTGTCGAATTCAATTGTCCCTTCTTTTTAAGCGATAAAAATTGCATTATTTATGAGTTAAGACGTCATACCCCACTTATGCAAAGTTATATGGTTTAAAAAAAAAGGTCTACTACCAACCGAGATTACTAGTAAGCTAAGCTAAATTGCTTGTGTTATAAATAGATGGCACACTTATCCAATACAAATGTAACTTTTTCCACATTTAGGAAGTTACGATTATTACATTTGACACTTTTGTAATAATATAACAGCTTCTCATATAAAGCTTTAGATTAGAAAAATCGAATTTTTTAAATATTTCTTGCACATTTACAAATACTTTCATGTAACTATTAAAGTTCACTTTTAAACAAAGTGTAATATTAAAAAGAGTAGCGAACCTCACATCAAAGTGGCGTTATAACTTGTATCACTTCAGATATTATCTTAGCAACAAGCATACCTATATATATATACCTATAAATATTGTAAATGTATAAACTATCCTGTAGTGCAGTCTAATTATAATAATAACATAATTAATTACTCCATACTGATACCACATTGGTATCTACATTGCAAATCTTACTCTCTTACCAGCGTCTTTTTAGATTTTTATTTTACAGCAGTTTTAGTAATATATTATTTTTATTATGCTGATTGTTATCTAATTCGGCACTTTATCAATATGTATAAAAAACTTAAAAATAATATTTAATTATTTTAATATAAGATACGCCTTTGCGTAAGTAACTCCCTTTCTTTCCACCGTGGTGATTATGTCGGACATGCACCTACTAAAACTAGTGATGTGCCGGATATCCGTATCCGTATCCGCGGATATCCAAGGGAGAAGAGAGATCCGTAACCGTATCCGTATCCGTGACTTTTTTGGCGGATCTTTCAATACATATTACATAGATGAAATTCTAATTTTGTATTCACTGTAAAACTCTTAGGTATGCGTACAAACACTATAAACAGCAACTTTTTTTCTGGCCAACGTCAAAATGAAAAAAAAAATGGCCCTCCATTCAAATGACCAATCAAATGTTGTTAGTTTGTTCCATACAATCATTGGTCATCAATTATTTTTCTTTCGTTTTCGGTGTTAGTCCAGAAGAAAATTTGTTGTTTATAATGTTACTAATATGCAGTTCAGAGGTTTTTAGTAAATTTAAATTTAACCCTGAATAATGGTTATTAGGTAGCTATGAAAAACTATTGAATTCTGTTCAGATTACTTATTATTTCTTAAAACAAATATTTGGCACCTTTGTATTGCAATCATTTATCGTACTACACTAAATCAACTAGGCAGGTCGTAGGTACTGAAAGAGCTATCTTTATAATGAGATCAATCAAACATCTTTGTATTAGCTTATTAAAATAATGAAATATTTAAATATCAACGGCAAAGCGTCAAGTGGCGACAACTATCAAGGTCACGGGCTCCGATTGAGTAAGAAACTTAAGATCCGTATCCGTATCCGTATCCGCGGATCATGACACCAAATATCCGTATTCGGATCCGTATCCGCGGATATACTTTGTTAACGATCCGGCACATCACTACTAAAAACTCCACCAGGTGTACCCTAAAAAGGAAGTCCCTGGTATCCTGGCGTCGAGGTACTTAAGCTATGAGGTAAAGAAAAAAGCAAAGCCGACCAGACGTGTCTTTTTCACTTTCCCGAAGCATCCTTTCACGGTGATCACTTGTGTTAGCAGGTATGAGAGCCAATCCTCTCCGTAAGTAAACTCCTTTAAGGTCCCCAAATCAAAAACTTGCAATCTTTTTTAAGTTTGAATAGCTAAGCATTTTTTTAAGTAAACTACTGCTGCCCACAGACCCTTGCAAGTTTGCAATTCAAGTTAATAAAATTGGGTTTTTAATGGGAAGTCAAAATTAAAGTAATAATCAAATCAAATCAAATCAAATCTTTATTTGCCAACCAAGTGTACATCAATGATCTTATATAATTATATGTAGTAGTCCCAACTTAGAAGCCTTTTCCAGGCATTGCAAAAATTTGAGAGAGAACGCAGAAGAATAAATTGTTACACAAGTACAAGCATTTTTTGAACAATACAAATTAAGTGACTCAAATAGTACAGTATAACAATCGAACAAAGCATGCAAAAATACGAAGGCACCCGACATTCTACATCACTAATACATATACACATTTTCCTACTGTCCCTAGCATTTCCGTGCATCACGACCGATTTTTCTTTTTATGATTTGTACTTAGGTATATGATTTCTGTTTTCCGTGTAATAAGAAATGTAGTTTGTTAAGTGTTTTTTTCCTCAATGTATTCTTTAACAGAATAGAAACATTTTGTAATTAAGAATGCTTTTAGTTTTTTAATGAATAGTGTAGTCTTCGTTTCATTTTTTATGTGGATAGGTAATTTGTTGTATATTTTTACAGCCATGTAGTAAGGGCTCTGGTGTAGTATTTTAATTCTTGATGGTGGTAGGTATAGTCTGTCTCTGTGGCGTGTGTTTAAATTGTGATTGTCTTTTACTCTCGCGAAGTGACTCATGTTCTTGGATACAAATATGCAGATGTCAAATATGTATAATGATGGTAGTGTGAGGATGTTATATTTAATGAAGAAGGGCCTACAACTATCACGATTTCCAATTTGTCCGATAATTCTAATACATTTCTTTTGTAATATAAATAAATCCTGAAAGTGTACACTGTTTCCCCACAACATAATGCCGTATCGTAACCAGGAGTATGCGTATGCGTAGTATAACAAAAATAAATTTCACATGAGACACTTAGTAGTTTGTCAAAATATGTGCTATAAAACACCACGTTTTGGTCTTACTTGTTGAATACAGGGACATTTATAATTTTAAAAATTGGCAACATAATTTCTACCTCTAAGGTTTGCTAAAGTCGAATATTAAAACATGACGCGTGGTAAAATTCCTGAACGCATAGTCGCATATGTCACTGTCAAAATACAAACTATAATAAATCAATACGAGGTTGTACTTCATGGCTGATTAAGTAGCATCGAAAAGTTGTTTCTGTTTCGAAGTAGGGTTAATATTATATTAGCACAATGATTAAGGCAATATTGGTATTTAATAACCACGGAAAACCGCGATTGTCGAAATTCTATCAATATTTTGTGAGTAAAGGATTTATTCTTTGTCAATGAAATTTGTTATATTTACGTTATTATTATGTTAAATTGTATATTTTTTGCATACGCGTATGATTAATTTGTAAGATCATTATTTGGAACCTAATAAATAGCAAATGTTATGTTATTCTTGCTTCAGTTTTTGTTAAAGTAAATCTGGATAACTTGTTACAACTAGGCGCAATGGTGGTTCCTTTTGCGATTAAAAAAAATCACGTATATTATTTTTCTGTATTATTCTTTTTTTAAATTACATAGGTTACCAATTGACCCTCGCAATTTCTTCTGCTTCTCTCAGACTTTTATTTAATATAAAAGTTTTTTGTAAGTTTGTAATTATTTGGATAGGTACTGAGTAATTAAATGTGGGTCCAAGTGGACACATCCAGATCTTGCCTGGGAGTGAAAAGTTAACTATTTATTTAAAAACTATTTTTCCCTTTGATTTTGCAAAAAATTAGCTAGGTAAGCAGTGGAAATTTTAGGTCTTGGAAGGCAAAATGGAACTACAATTCTCTTGTGTAACTTGAAGAGGCTAGGGTTGTCTACCCTAATACAGGAATATCTACTTTCCACATGTATTACTTTATAAACAACAGTCAACACAAGCCAAATAAAATGTGATAGATTCTGAGACCATCATGCTTGTTACTTAATCATACCAGAACTGCTGAATAAATCTGGATGAAATTTGGCACAGAGACAGGTTATACTCTGGAATAGAATATAGGCTACTTCTTATTTAAACAAATTGGTTGTCAAAATTGACATTAACACAAGCAAAGCTTGGAGTAATAAGTATTTATTTACAGAATGAAGACATGCAGCAGCAAATTATCAAGGAGACATTCCAACTGGTTTCCAAGAGAGAAGATAATGTATGCAATTTTCTGGAAGGAGGCAGGTAACTATCACATAGGTTTTGTAACATTTTTAACCATCTTCAAAAAGGTGGAGGTTATGAATTCGGATGTTTATATTTTATTATGTATGTTTGGGCATAACTCAGTCATATATATGTAGATGGATTTTCAAAATTCTGTTTTTGCTCGAAACGGGTTAATACCGAAATAGCAATTTTATTATAAGCATTGAGGGGCTAGTGGTAACTGAGTAGGTTAGCAACAACAACATTGCAAAGTTAAGCAATGCTAGTCAGGTTAGTCAATGGTAGTCTAACCAAACACATCGAGACCCCCCCCATAACTCGAGCAGCACTTTCGCCATACAAACATCTGTGACAATTGTTGGATAGTTGAAATACTAAAGAGTCCGACAACCGTAGACAGACATTTAAAGAACTTCGATATCGCCTAGTACTTCGGTGGAGCTCTGATGGCAGTTGCTCCACTTAAAATATCGAAGTTCAGCCATGTGTCAGACCAGTTTTGTAAAAGGCTCTGAGGATGAGGATGGTTATTATAAGCATTAGGTTGTCAACACCCTTTAATAGTCCACTGCTGAACATAGGCATCTCCTTAGAAAGGAGGTTAGGTTACACAAATCAATAAGTTTAATATGTATACAATTTTCAATTCTTTTCAGTCTGATTGGTGGTTCAGATTACAAGCTCATCTACAGGCACTATGCTACCTTGTATTTCGTCTTCTGTGTGGACTCCTCGGAGAGTGAACTAGGCATATTGGATCTCATACAGGTAAGACACTGCTGTTCTTGCATGAAGTAGCTACACCACTACCTGTTAATAAGATTTTGTTTTCTGTTGTACATTTGGAAATGCCCTCGGAACTTACTTCACGGAGTTGTTTGTTGTGTTAAACTCAAATACATTTTTAAACATGCAATTGATAGTTTAATAAAAAAAACGAGACACTAGAATAACAGCAACGAAATCACCCTGATGACTTAGTGAATCAAACCAGCTAAAACTTTAGTGTGTCATCTATGCCTCAAATATTAAGGATACAGGCGCAGATTTTACTAAGACATTTCGCCCCTCGTAGTCCCCGTAAAAGGGCGGGCACCACTTTTGGGTAAAAGCTCTCTGGTTTAGGACAGGGTTTAAGTTACATCCTAGGTTTCCTTTGTGGCAGAAGATTTAACACTTGGATCATCAAGATCATTTACTTCTCAGAGAGACTCACATAGCAACCCATCACGTCTGGCAACAAACAGTCCTATAAGACAACAGGACAGAGTTCATAGTGATTGCAAAATGGTATATTTTCTCTGTTCTGAGCAATTGGAAAGTCCTAGCCCTCTACCTTTTCGTGCGCTTTCTCTTTAGGTATTGTTACCTCGTGTCCAACCATCTCATATTGCGTCATCTGGTTCTTTTGAGGTATTATGGTAGAGAGGCTTTCAGGAAGGAGGCAGGTTTTCAGTGAGATTACATAGAATTTAAGTTTCAAAACCTTCAGACTGTGTATGATCTTTTCTGATGCTTTCTATACTGCATGATGTACTGGATCTGAAGCTATTGCACTATTATTACTGCCTGAAAAATATTTACAGTGTAACATTCTGGCTTTGGTTATTTTCCAGGTCTTCGTAGAAACTCTTGACAAATGCTTCGAGAATGTATGCGAATTGGACCTGATCTTCCATGCAGATGCTGCTCACCAGGTGCTGGATGAGCTGGTGATGGGTGGAATGGTGCTTCAGACGAACATGGCTGATATCTTATGCAGACTTCAAGAACAGAATAAGATGCAAAAGTCTGAGGTAAAAATGAAAAAGACAACATTTACCCTTTAGCTATATATTAGTGATCACCCTTTTATATAAAGAGAGGCTTTTCAGACCAAGCTATGTCGGTCTAGTCCAGGTTACAGTCACAACGGGCAGGCTGCTCATCGGTTTCGTGAGCGCCAGGATCACAGTCCTGGCGGCGAGACCGATGAGGTGTTTTAAATGCCTGGCCGCGGGACACACGCGCGTCAAGTGCGACAGTTGTTTTGACTGCGGCGGACTGTGTTTCCGCTGCGGTCAACCGGGGCATAAGGCGGCAGAATGCTCTGCCGCCCCTCACTGCCCAGCGTGTGCGGCGGGCAATAAGCCCGCCAATCACCAGATGGGGCAGAGAGGCTGCAAGCCTCCCCGCAGTTCTCGGCAGACGTCAGGGGCTAGCCAGTCGACCCAGGCTGCCTCTGATGTAGTACGTGCGTCGTCGTCGTCGCCCATGGAGGAGGTTGTAGAGACGATCCAGTAATGGATCAAGTCTCCAACCTCCTGGTCCAGACGAACCTGAACCACTGTGCCGCGGCGCAGGATCTCTTCCTGCAAACCATGGCACAGTGGTCGATAGGTGTTGCCGTAGTCGCGGAGCCCTATTCTGTCCCTCCCCGTCCAAACTGGATGGGTGACTGGGACGGCTCCGTGGCAGTCGTCGGTTCCACGACGGCTCATTCCCCGCCCTTGTCGCTAAGAGACAAGGGCACTGGATATGTTGCCGTCGAGTGGGGGGGGATCACCATATATGGTGTTTATTTCTCCCCCAACCGGAGTTTGAACGACTTTGAGGTTTTCCTAACCAGCTTGGAGACCTCGATACGGCGACTAGCGTCTGGGCACGTCCTTGTGCTGGGGGACTTCAACGCAAAGTCCATTGCGTGGGGTTCCCCCAGGACGGACGCAAGGGGCGAGGCCGTAGAGGAGTGGGCGGCCTCGGTGGGCCTCTGTCTTCTAAACAGAGGCTCCACCAACACGTGCGTGCGACAGCAGGGGGGGTCGATAGTGGACCTCTCGTTCGCTACCCCTGCCCTCGCCTGACCACGAGGTTGAGACGCTCTCGGATCATCTGTATATCCGATTTGAGCTCTCCCGGACCCAGGACTCCAGTAGGGGTCACGTGGCGCGGCGTTTATCCCGCTTTCCGCGGTGGGCTGTTGCCAGACTAAACCGGGACCTACTAGAGGAGGCAGCCATAATTCACTCGTGGCTGTCTCCGCAGGCTCCGACCGAGGAGGTTGACGTGGGGGCTGGTCGCTTTCGCGATGCGATTACGCATATCTGCGATGCGGCCATGCCCCGCATTCGAGGTCGTCGGCCTCCAAGGAAGGAGGTCTACTGGTGGTCCCAGGAGCTGGCGGACCTCCGTGCGGCCTGTACACGTGCCCGGAGGTCCTACACACGCAGTCGGCGGCGTCACCGTGGAGACGGTGAGGAGGACCGGCTTCATGAGGAGTACCGACGGGCGCGGAAAACTCTGAAGCTGGCCATTAGCCGCGCCAAAGAGGAAAAAAGACAGGAGATGCTGGAGGGTCTTAATCGTGACCCCTGGGGTCGCCCTTACCGCGCGGTGCGACAAAAGCTCCGCGCGTCGGGCCCCCCCCTTACGGAGACTCTCCAGCCCAGCTTCCTGCGAGAAGTGGTTGAGGGCCTTTTCCCACAACGAGCGGAACACACTCCCCCGTCGATGGCCTCCCTGGCCGGAGACGACGGGGAGCACGGGGAGGACAATGTTCCGCCCGTCCGGGATTCGGAGGTAGGGGCGGCTGTTCTACGGATCCGTTCCAAGAACACCGCCCCTGGGCCAGACGGGGTACCGGCCCGAGTGCTGGCCCTGGCCCTCAACCACATGGCAGACCGCCTCGGGGAGGTGTTCGACGCTAGCTTGGCGTCGGGACGCTTCCCTGAGTGCTGGAACAGCGGGAAGCTGGTCCTATTGAGGAAGCCGAGACGGCCAGCCGATTCGGTCGCGGCCTATAGGCCCATCGTGCTGCTGGACGAGGCGGGCAAATTGTTTGAGAGGGTTCTTTCTGCCCGCATCGTCCGGCACCTCTGCGAGGTGGGCCCCGATCTGTCGGACGCCCAATTTGGTTTTCGGGCGGGGCGTTCGACAGTCGACGCCGTGTTGCGCCTGAGGGCCGTGACCGAAGAGGCCGTGAGCTGTGGCGGCGTGCTGTTGGCGGTGTCATTGGACATCGCCAACGCATTCAATAGTCTGCCATTCAGCTGCATCAGGGAAGCACTCCACTATCATGGGGTGCCAAAGTACCTGAGGCGGCTAGTGGCAGACTATTTAGAGGAGCGTACCGTCGTGTACGAGGACCGAGAAGGTAATCTGAGGTGTCGGCCCATGTCGTGCGGTGTTCCACAGGGGTCTGTTCTTGGACCCCTCTTGTGGAACATAGGGTACGACTGGGCCCTTCGCGCCGATTTCCCCCCCGGGCTGGGTGTAATCTGTTACGCAGACGATACCCTCGTGACAGCCCGGGGGGCAAACTTCCAAGAGGCGGCGCGCCTGGCCACAGGGGGAGTCTCCCTGGTGGTCGGGCGCATTGAGGCGCTGGGCTTACGGGTGGCCCTAGATAAGACGGAGGCCCTGTTATTCCATGGGCCCCGTCGTGGTCCACCCCCTGGCGCCTCAATCGTGGTCAACTCGGTCCTCGTACCGGTTCGGGCCCAGATGAAATATCTGGGCCTGATCCTCGACGGGAGGTGGCTCTTCGACGAGCACTTCCGACAGCTTGCTCCAAAGCTGGTCTGCCCTAGGGCGACTTTTGCCCAATATGGGTGGACCCAGCGTCGCGACAAGACGGCTGTACACGGGGGGTTGTCCGGTCAATGGCACTGTACGGTGCACCGGTGTGGGCGGCGGCTCTGACCGCCCAGAATAGGGTACGCCTCTGGCGCCCTCAGAGGGTAATGGCGGTCAGAGCCATACGCGGTTACCGCACCGTTTCGACGAAGGTGGCGTGCGCGTTGACCGGAACTCCCCCGTGGGATTTGGAGGCGGAAGTGCTCGCCGAAGTTTATCGGCGAGTGGCTGACTACCGGGCGGAGAGCGGATTTCGCCCTCCGCCCGAGGATGTGCGCGAGTGGCGCGAAGCCGCTCGCCGAGCCACGATGGCTCGTTGGTCGTTCCGGCTGGAGACTCCACGCGCTGGCTTCGCCGCCGTGGAGGCTCTCCAGCCGGTCATCGCCGAGTGGGCAGGGCGGCAGCACGGGACCCTTTCCTTCCGGCTGACGCAGGTGCTTTCCGGGCACGGTTGCTTCGGATAGTACCTGCACACGGTCGCTAGGAGGGAACTGAGTCCCGCCTGCCACCACTGCGACTGCAGTGAGGACTCGGCCCAGCACACGCTGGCGGTCTGCCCCGCATGGGCGGCGCAGCGCCGGGCCCTCACTGCAGTCATCGGAGTGGATCTCTCGCTACCGGCCGTAGTACGCTCCATGGCCGGTAGCGACAGTTGTTTTACCGCGGTCGCAACCTTCTGCGAGGTAGTAATCTCGCGGAAGGAGGCGGCGGAGAGGGCCCGGGAGGACGACCTCCACTCGGACCCGATCCGCCGCCGGCGAACCTCAGCCTCATGCCGCCCTGAGTGTGGCCGCGGGTGGACGGGGTGGGTTTCCCCTCCACCCGCATTAGTTTGGCCCGCCGCGAGGGGGCGGCGTCCGCGTGTGCCGGACGTCGCCTATAAAGAGAGGAAAACATTGAGACGGAGCCCGCACCAGGAGCGGGCTGGCGCTAGGAGGGGTCCGGATGTCTTAACAACAGCTGTTCCCGGATCCCTCCTGTTACAGGCGCAGAGTGGCACACCGTGTGGTTTTAGTCAGTCCGAGTCCGACACACCACCCCGCCGCAAACCCCGGAGGGGTGACGGTCCGAGAGGATTTCCACACGTTAAAAAAAAAAAAAAAAAAAGGTTACAATCACAAGGTCAATTTCCATAAGTGTGATGCAGGCTTAGTAATTAAAAAGTAGTTCGGCTTTTCCTAACTAGATGGCACAAAAGTATATTTTGTTCAGTGTGAAAGATTCGATGCTAAATCTGTTATCAATTCTTTATCAGGCGGGTATATCTGCGGCGCCTGCGAGAGCTGTATCGGCAGTCAAGAGCATGAACCTGCCGCAGCAGCTTCGGGATATGAAGCTTCCCGACCTACCACAGGCTATTAAGGTCAGTCAGGTTCTGGTGAAAGAAGTTTTTTACGATAGAACAGGGTTGTTTCTTTTATCATAATCATGATTCTGTCCAGTTCAGAGTTTAGTTTAAGTTTAGAGATTCCAGAGAGATAGAGATTTCACTATGGACAAAGTTTCTACCTTTGTCCCATCCAAAAACGACTATATTCCCAGGGAGGTTTGACGTTTAAATCCTCAGGGAGGGTTGGCGTCAGATAGGTGGCTGCTAGGAAACCTAATATATAGATAGGTAATCATTGTCAAGCTGAACTGACAAAAAAAGGATATAAGTACTGAAAGATTAAATATTTATCCTCTTGATTGATTTCTGGATTCTTCTCTTACTGGATTAAAAAGAAAAAGAAATAGGCTAGCCTTACAGTACAATAACAATTTTGATATCTCATTTATTGTCTGACGGCTAACTCTAGCACCTCGCTCATTGGTCAAACCTAATAGCGCGCGTGTCCTCAGCTTCGTTACGCCCTCCCGTCCTGTAACATATTTCCGTCCCTTTCTACCAAATTACTGCCACAGATTCTAAGAAAGTAAGATGTTTCACATGAAAAAATTAAAAGCTCTTAAGTTATTATGTCATGTTTCAGGATCTGAAGTTCTGACCGCTCCAACCGGGGACGTACCCCGCCACGCCGGTCGCTATCGCCACGAACATCATCAGCACCATGTACCCACACTCCGACAAGTATCAGAACCTGCAGAAGCCGTCCGAAACCTTCGCCAACAAGTTTTTTGGTTCAGAAACATTGAGTACGAAATTCTCTGAAACATTCTCCGAAAATTATCAAAATACAGAAGGCATAAGTTTCGCTAACTACGAATGTCAGAAGACTGATGGTTATCAAGACTTGAGTGGAACGACAGTTGAGTACGGCTATAGTGAAGTTAGAAAAAGAAAGAAGAAGAAGAAGGGGGTGAAGAAGTAATTTTGGAGGTGTAAGTGTTTAAATGTTGCTTAGCTATAATTCTGTAGACATATATAGGACATATCGAAAATACCTGTTATACTATTAAGGTTGCAAACAGGCTAACATAACAGCTAGAATTGTTATAGTACATGCATATTATGATTAAAACCAGCTGTCGAGGAACGCTTGTTATTTTCTCTCATACCAATGGAGGATTTGAGTCTGAACCTACGTGAAAATTTTAATTGCGAGATGTGGGATCAGTAGTTGCTTAAGTTTCGCTAGATGGCGCTGTAGTATTTTTGCTGAATATGAATGTCGCTGCACCTTTGTAATACCAAGAAGGTGCGCATTACCAAGACCAAGTCAAGTTAGTACATTGAGACCCCTTAGTGCCTAAAAAGCCGTCGGTCCCGCTTGCTATACCAACATCTATTAATTGTGGGGGTGTCTCCAGGTTAGTTTCCAGGTTTCTTGTCCCAAGGTGTATGTGACCTGGCTAGATTTAGTTGTGCTACACTTGCCACTATTCCAACCAATTCTGTACCTCGTCAAGACTTGTTTGAACCCGTTTAGAGGCTGTATTCGGGTTTCTATGACTTGCTAGGCTTGATTTGTAGCCGTGAGTATTTAAAATACTTATTTTAAAATACATTTACAAAAACCCCTAAGAAACAGTTGAACCGACTTCAACCTATCTTGTAACAATACTAACAAAGAGTAGTAAAAACCTAGCAGCAATTGCGGTTGATTTATTGTCATTGTTTGAGGGTTTTCGTTGTCTGTCTCCGAAACTCATCATCAGATCTATATGAAATTTAAATGGGATAAACCTCTATCCAACAAAAATAGAATTTCGCAAAAAAATGAAATCGTTAAACATCCGAATTGATAACCTAAACCTTTTTGAAGTCGGTTACAATGTAGTTAAAATTCAAATATTAGTATTTGTATGTTAATTACAGGTAATTCAAGTACTGTCCGGACGTGAATCGAACAAGAATGCATAGATACTTAACAATATAATTAGCTGTAAGCTTATTTGCTGCCTCAATAGCATATATATATTGGTTTTAATCTAATTTTGTATAGTCAAAATTAAGTTTGTAAATTGATTAAATAAATATGTTTTGATTAATTTAATGTGAATTGTGTTTATTCATGTTTGGGTTGTAGACCCTTGTAATTTTTTTGCATACACTTTTAATCTCTTTTGTATTAAGGTTCAATTGAAATTATTATTTTATAAAACATTCCTTGTATATTTGTGTGTACAGAACTCAGTTCATGTCGGTGTGGCGTCCGCTTGGCGGTTTTAATGATATAGCTTTATCAGTGTAATTATAACTAATAGGGAATATGCACGTGACACCAAAATGGACAAAATATTTTTATTTGTAATTTTTATTGCTAAAAAAAGATACCCATACAATTATTTTTGAAATTTATTATAATTTAATAGTGAAATTTAATCATCAAAAATTGGCTTTTTTAAGATTCCCTCGCAAATCTCTAAAACGCAACGCTATTGGTTGAATAAAACGTGACGTCAACCTACACTGTCAAGAGTGTCAACAAGTTGTGTGTATTTGTAATATTTGGTTTCTGGTGATTATTTGTTTCATTTTAAGTTAATAACTAATACGTTTTCAGTGTTAAATTATTAAATTCCCGTGTGGAAAGACTCAACACAATGACTGAATATACTTTGTCAGGTGCAGTTTTGATATTATTTGGCCACAAAGGAACGGCACAATATTTATAATATGTTTTTATTGGCTTTCCATGGTAATAAGTTAATTTTTATCACTCACTTTTTTAACTTTCAGAAACTTTGTGAACTTCACTCCGTTGTTGACATCAAATTTGTCTGACAGTGTAATCTGACGTCACAAAAAAAGCGCGCCAAAATGGACGTGTTCAAATTGCCCCAAAATGACAGTGATTTTAATAAAAATTTTTTTGCTTAACGGTTTATATTTCGGATGTGTTATATTTATTTTTGGTAATGTAATAACTAGTAGAATCGTTAAAAAAAATAAAAAAAATACATGCATATTCCCTATTACCTATATAATAAGAAAGTAAATATAATTTTATTTTATGTTACCTATTCTGTTGTTTTATTTTCTGGCCTTTGAAAAGTTCAAAATTTAACAAGCTAATTAATAAAAATAAATCCTGACTGCGTCAAAATGAATACTTAAAATTAACAAATGGGAGTTCATAATTTTGTATACCCTGAGTGTCATTCTCACAATTTAGACGAATCTAACGACACGTCAAATACCAAAATCCATCAAGCCGTTTAGGCAAAGAAATATACATACACACATACATTCGCATAACATAAATCTCCTGTCGCAGGCGCAGACGGTTAAAAATTAAATAAAATTGTCTACTTTTGGCCACAGATTTTGCTTCATCTCAGATAGTGGAAGTTCCCTTACCTACTTCATATTCCCACATACAGACATAAATATGCATTATACTTACAAAGAGGTAAATATGCATGATATACGCCCGCAGTTTGCGGATTATAATTTAAATTCCACCTAAGTCAAGGCCATTCACGTAGGTGGGATTAAATTACCACAGGCCAGCCAGGTGGAATGCCGATTTGGGCATCCATCATATCAATCGGGCACTTTAGTGAGTAGGTGCAAAAATTAGAAGTTCTATAGTAAGGATAGAAAAGTGCTCGCCCTCCACCGATTCTTTGACCAATATCATCTAGGAAAACGAGAGGTTGGAATTCCATGCGCTCCCACTTTGGACCAGGGACAAGTCATGGTCAGCGTAATACCCCTCATCTGTCATATTACTATTGTTGAGTCATAAATACTAAAATATTTCTTCCTTGTATTCCTATAATATATATTATTTAGTTACTTTTGTTAGCGTAATTTTATGACATTATTTAGTAAACAATGCCAAGATAATCGCCAAAGAATATTATATTTATTACAACGCCATCTATGAAAGTATGTAAACTGTTTTTGCGCCATCTATTGGTTATTATAAAAACGACAAACTCTATTGAGAAATCAGCTGTTGTAGAACTTCAACTATTGAACGATAGAGTTTTAACAAATTTTTGTGTAGCTATTCATCACAAGATGGCGCTATTATAAATATTTATTGCAATAATGATAGTTGTATTTTTACATTTTCTGTTATTTTACTATCAATTTGTAAACAATCTGGTAAGTTTTCTGTGTTGGAATGAAAAATACATGAAGAGAAAACTATGCATTTCATAGAACACTATTAAAAGCTTAAAATTCACGAACATCATTAACCCATTAAAGGTCAAATGAAAAGTACCGATGTTTTTTTTAAATTATCTTTATTTCTATATTCAAATAAGTACACAGAAACACAAAACGAAAGAAAAAAATGGAAAAAAATTAGATTTCATAAAATTTCAGGGGTCGAGTACAGCAACATTATATGACTGTGGTTTTATTTTAGTAATGAATCATTGATTGTATTGTTTATTATAACTTACTCTGACATTTATTTTATACTAATGAAATAAAAAAAAATAACTTATAAACAGAAATAACTTTAAAAAATCTCATATCATTTACTTACCTCCCCAGTGTTTCGGTGACACTACTTCAACTGACACTTTTTGGCAAAAATAATCACACTACCAGCGTAATACTTTTCAATATACGTGAACAGTATTATAATAAAATAAAATAACAAAGTAGGCCCCTTTAATTTTACAAGTGTTGAATTGAAATAAAAAAAAATGGCTGTACTCAATTGAGTACAGTGACTTCTAATGGGTTAATATCAGAGATGGAGCTTTAGCTAATTCTTTTAGATTATTACATAGCGGACTCCCAAGCTGGCTGCCCGCGGGACTCACTCGTACGGGCCCGACCAATTCTCAATTCAGTAGATATAAATTTTTGTCCTGTGGAATTGACCGCACAACCTACCATTTTTGCACCTACCGTATCATATTTCTACATCACCTGAAGGTTGACTGGGACAGAACGTCCCATGACTTCAAGTCCGCTTTTGTACAATATGTGCATTAAGTTTTAAATAAATAAATTAGTGGGTCTTGTGTATCACTTAATGGCTTAGAATCATCATTCAACTTGACATTATTAAAGAATCAAGTAATTGTGTGTGAACAGTTGGTTTGTTTGTTTGGTGGCGCTAATCTCAAGAACTGCAGGTACGAATCGAAAAATGATTACAGAGAGGTTAGATTGTAGGTACATTGGTCACTTTGGCCAAGGAAAAGCCACTTTGGAAAGCCGTGTGGAAGATTACCTGGAACAAACAGATAGACATACAGCCTTTTTTAAACTGGTTTTTAGGCACAGATATCGTGCAAATAACCGTGTGAGCATGAAAAAAAACCTATTCTTTTGACATTACAAACAGACACTTCAATTTTATTTATTTGTATAGAATATTGTCTCTGCTAAGATTCGATACGCTTTATGCATTTCAAACAATCAATGAGTAATAGTCACTCTAATAAAATGATATTTTAAATATGATTTTTACCGTGGGAGAACCATGCTTCGGCACGAATGGGCCGGCTCGACCGGAGTGATACCACGGCCTCACAGAAAACCGGTGTTAAGCAATTCTTTTGTTGCCTTTCACTGAGTGAGTGAGTTACCGGAGCCCAAATCCCCCCTCCCGCTGACTTGAGCGGGAGGGACTCCAAGGTCAGCAACGCACTTGTGACTTTTGAGTTGAAGGTGTCCATGGGCGGCAGTAGTTGCTTACCATCAGGTGACCCGTCTGCTCGTTTGCCCCCTTATACCATAAAGAAAATATATACAAAATATTTTAGTGTTGTATAGTCCACTTATCGAGGAACCTTATCTTATATATAAAATTCTCGTGTCACAATGTTCGTTCCCGTACTCCTCCGAAACGGCTTGACCGATTCTCATGAAATTTTGTGTGCACATCGGGTAGGTCTGAGAATCGGCCAACATCTATTTTTCATACCCCTAAATGGTAAGGGTGACCCATCCCTAATTTTTTTTGTTTTGCAATACAACGTTTGCCGGGTCAGCTAGTAATCTATATAAAATGACGCTATGACCAATAGGAGCGGAACATTTATGAAAAATATTGCAAAAACGGGGAAATTTATTCCTTTTGAGGTACGCAAAGTGACGCGGCTCAGCTAGTGTTATACATATCATTAATATTGTAATAACAGACGTATTAAAAAGCGCTTAAAGTTCAAATTAATGTAATTATGTGTATCATTAATTGTTAAAGGATTTCTCTAATTGTAGGTAGGTACGATAGCTATTAAACAAAACTATCTTTAGCACGCGGTTTCATTCGCGTTAGACTAAATTTTATACGATTTAGAATACGAAAGGTCACCTCCATTATTCGTCCCGTGGGTGTCGTAAGAGCCGACTAAGGGCGCAAAACAACGCAGGACACCAGCACTGCAAAAAGAAGAAAAACTTCACAAACCTTATACCAACACGTCTGGCCAGCGTGGTATAGTAGGCCAAAACCTTCTTTCTAACGAGAGGCCTATGTCCAGCAGTGGACTATTAAACGCTGTCGATGAAGAGTATCAGACACCATTCAATTCTCACAAACATTCATATTTTTAAAATTCAGAAGAAAATAAAGGTTTCATCACTTCAAAATCATTTTTTAGGTGATACCCCAGTTACTGAGGTTATAAGCTATGTAACATTAAGTTATCACACTTAGGAGCGGAGCAGTCCCTGTAAAGGCGAGTGACATTGTAGGAAACCGCTAGTTTTCACTAACGACACAAAAACCCACGCACTTATAAATTCCTAAAACCATTTTTAACAACAAAACATTGGTCACTTAGTAAACAAACATGTCCTACAGTATTCGAAGTAAAATAAATAATATTTTTACATTCTTTTTCCATTTTAAGACACGGTAATTATAAGTATGGTGTATTAATGTAACGTTGAGTAGAA